GGGCGGCTCGCCTTGGCGGTCTCCCCGAAGTCGCCCGGACTCCAGCTGGACTGGAGAGAAGCTGTATTTCCTCGCGTGGGAGCTCAACAACGGCCCAAGCCGTGTTGAGCCTGGTTCGCGTTTGGACGGGAGGCCACTCGGAAATCCTGGCGTTGTGAGAGCATCGGGGGAACGAAGGCATCTCATAGAAGAAAAGAGGGGCGAAACCCTTCCTTGGGAAAGTGGCGTGGACATGTGCCTGAAGTCCCCAGGAGTGGATCTTGCGTCCAGGGAGTTCGGGGTGATCCTGGGGTGACCTGGCTGCTCCCCACATTCCCTTAAATCTCTGTGACTTGTTCCCTGCCCTCTAGGAGGAAACAACCTGCTTTAGGACTGGAAGTCTGTCCTTGCATTCTCACCGCAGGCGTAAGGCAGTCCCTGAACGGACCCCTGTCTTTGAATGTGCGCGCTGCGTAACTGATAAAGTACAGGGCTGGGCCCTCCCAACACACTAACCCCCCCAAACCGAATGTCCGAATGCCGCTTGCACAATGCGGCAGGTGGGTTCCCGTGTCCAACATTCATCCCTGCAGGCTTCCCTAACCCGTGCTGGTTGGGAAGTCTGGGCATTGTAGTCCCCGCACTTCTGAAGAGCCCTAGGTTGAGAAAAGCTGGAGGAAAGTGTTTTACAGTAGTTGGAAGAATATAATATATACATTTATGCCAAACAACTGGTACGTTTCCTTTCGTCTTCGGTCCTGCTTGTGACATTTCAGAGGGCAAAACAGTTACTGTTAATTCCTGCTGCCGGGGGAGTGAGATGAAGAGGCCTTTCTCCTGCTGGAGAATAATGCGTAATGAATCACATCAATCCATTAATAATTAATTAATGATCCCCATGCAATCGCAGAATCCCATCCGCTTGCTTGCTGTTCTGCCTCGGCAAGCTCCGCGCTCCCTAGTTCTTTCCCGGTTTTCTTCTGCTATCAATAATCTCAGCAAAGATTTTTTTTCCGGGGTGGGGTGGGGGGAGAGGTGTTAAAAAGGTAAACGCCTTTCTTCAAAGCGCTGTAATCACGTTAAAATTGTATCTAAAAACAGAGAAAGGAAGCTAAAAACAGAATGGAAGTATACCCCATAAAACGATAAAAGAAGCAATTAAAATGATTATTGAAGTAGCTGCTGGGCAGAAGAAATGAATATGAAGAAAAGCATTGTTGCAGCTAATGAAAAGAAAATCAGGGCCAAGATGGCTCACCTTGCTTTGTCTTTGCCGAAAAGGATAAAATAGAGGCCAGGGAAGCCTCTCTTGGGAGACTATTTCAAATTTGGGAAGCCAGCCCCGAGAAGGTCCACTCCAAGAAATACATAATATTTGTCAGGAATATGAACATTTTTGCAGTTCAAATAGCAAACAAAGGAACCAAGAATAAAGTATACTGTGTGAAGGCTGCCTACGTGCTATTTTTTAAAAAATAAAAATAATCCCTTTGGCCATTTTTTTTTTTGTAGTTAAGGTGATAGTCCTTGCTGAAACCACTTATTCCTTTAATTAGTTTTGTGGCTATAGAACAAAACACACAGCAGAAGGGAGCATGCTTTGAATGCTTATTCATCCGTATGTGGATCATTTAGCACAGAATGGAATGAAATATTTCCTTTTATCCTGCTCTTAGCACAAAGCTTGGGAATGGCGGTGTTTTGTCTTCTGAACTGGAAACCCTTGAAATACCTATTTCAGGATCAGAATGTTTTGCATAGCCTGTGATCTCATCTTTATGAGCAAGCACTAGAAGTGCTCCTTCTAGCAAGGTTTTATATGTGTTTGTGTGTGTGTATAAATATAAATATATTAGCAGAGTTTATTGATATTACACTCAGTCCAAGAATGGAAGGAATGGGATGTGACAACACATCTCTAAGATCAAGACTGATGTATTGTATCTCTGTTCCCATTTGTACAATCAGGTGTGAGAGACATATAGCTAAGAATGGCTATGTAATATATCTGCTGGGGAATACAGAGAAGCCACACCTGGCTTATTAAAGGAAGCTTAGTAGAAAATCAAATTCCAATTCTGCAGGTTTTCCGAAAAAACAAATAGACTTAGATTAACAATGTAATCTATGTAACGTTTTGATTTTTCAAAGGCGGAAGAAAGCTGTAGAATTATCTTGGGAATATTCCAGTCACATTAAGCCCTGACAAAGAATTTTTGTGACTCATAAATGTCAGCGTATTTTTTGTAAACAACTCTGATATTAAAGCTGCACTTCATACTTCTTTTGCTATCAGCCTAGAGCCAACACTATTATTAGGCAATTTGCAGCAATGACCCGGCTGGCTGATACTAGGAGGGGGCATCAGAGACACCCATTCACTGTTCCACCAGCAGAAGATCTCTGAATGGTCTCATTTCTCTACCTCTTCTTTTGCCCCCTGAACCTTTGCTTTGATATGGTCGAGTGATAACCCAGGACAGAACTTCCCCAACCTGGTGACCGCCAATGCATTAGATTGTATGATTTAATTAACCATGGTTATTTTAATTGGTGAGCTTTATACCCTATGCTAAAATCTGTAACCCACCTGGTATCCTCCAGAATTCACTGAACTGCAGTTGGTGACAGTCCCAGCTAACATGTCCAGTGCTGAGGATGCCGGCATGCTTGGGAAATTTTGTGTAGATTGGAGGATCAGCTCATCTTGCTTATCCTACAGTCCACCTTCAGGTCCCCAAATTGGGTATGTGCATATATTAGCTCTGTTCCTGGAACACTTAACCCAGTCAAACCCAGCCTGTCTCCTTGTTGCCCATATCACATGAAGTGGGTCAGAATTAACTATTGTAGAATACAGTTCTCACTCATTTTCTCCAAGAAACACTTACATCTCAAGACCTTTTGCACCAGGGATGGTACCAGCCAAGCTTTTACAACACCAGGAGCAACCCGTTGCCCAGGCAGGCAGGACTAAGGGTGGTAGGGCAAAAGCAGCTGATCACTGTTTGAGAAATTGTTCTCTGTTTGGCATTGAGTTCAGCAATGGACAGGCTTACTTTCCCAGCTGATCTTTCTCTCCAACTCTTTTTCTTGGAGGACTAGGTATGTAAAAGCAGGTCAACTGACTGGGATTAGATGCTCCCCAACACATCAGAGTGGAGTTGTTGTTGTTGTTGTTGTTGTTGTTGTTGTTGTTATTATTATTATTATTATTATTATTATTTATTATAGCCATCCCACTCCAAAAGTCAGATAATTTAACACTGGGC